GAGACAGAAAGTGAGAAACCACCCTCCAGGTGGATGGCCATGCCACAATCCCTTCTCCTCCATTTTCCTCTTAGGATTTTGGAGACACATGCACACGTGCCCATTGTGAGTTTCAAGCCTCTAGATCTGGAACTTGAATCATAGTTGGCCATGTGAGAGTCTAGAGCCTTAACCACCAGGCCACCTTCTGGCCCCTATCAAGCCTTTCTTGATCTCCCACAGCTAAAGGGAGCTCTGGTGTTTAGATATCTCTGCTTTCTTTCTTGTGTGTGTGTGTGTGTGTGTGTGTGTGTGTGTGTGTGTTTTACTATTCATGTGTTACCTCCCCCATTTCAGGCTTTGAGACTTAAAGTCAAAATTTATCATTTCTATGTTATATAGTAGAGGAATTTTTGATCAGTTGGTGTAATCTGATATCTAGTATCAAGGAGCCCTTTCCCTTCAAAGCTGGTGGTGGGTTTGAGTTCGTCCCATGCAGTGTTGTGCCAATATATGGTTCATGACTGTTGTAGCATCATCATCATCATCCCCGACATAAACTGACAAACTACTGTGTGCAGAGCACAGAGCTACTGTCTTCTGTGCTGGAAGCAGGAACCAGGACCTCAAGCTAAACGATCTCACCAGTTTTTATTGACCTGATATGATTAAAACACATTTGTAGTAAATGGACTATCATTTTAGATTTATTTTCATTCGCTCGTTTATTATTTTGACCAAAGTTTAATGAGGGCCTCCTCCGGGCATGTTGTGTGTGAGGTACTGGGGATAGAGAGAGAGCTGTCCCCTCTGCTCATATGCTAGAAAACAAGTAAAAAAAATTGCATTTGGGATAAATGCCATGAGAAGAACAAACTGTAGTAGAAGAGGAGGGACAGATTCTAACTGATGTCCTCAGGGGACAAGGGATTTAACCTCAGCCCTAAGGAAAGAGCCAGCAAAGTGAGCATCCAGGCCAGAGCTTTCAGGACAGAGGAACAATGTGTGTGAAGGCCCTGAGACAGGTCACAATCTGTTGTGTTGAGAGAACCGGCAGAAGGCCCGTGTGGCAGAGCCTGGTGCCAGGGAGAGTCCAGCATGGAGGTGGGCAGGTGGACAGGAGCCTGACCACTGAAACCTCATGGGACATGGAAGTGGCTTTTGGTTTCATGTGAAATGAAAAAAGACTCCATTTGGAGGATTTTAATCAGGGCAGTGAATTTATGTTTCACAAAGATCCTTCTGGCTGCTGTGTGGAGAGGGGATTGGATAAAGGGCCGATGGTGGAAAGACGGAACCAGTGATAGGATTGTTGCAGTGTTCCAGGCCAGAGATAATGGAGTCCTTAAAAACAAATTTTCTGTTTTTTAAAAAACACAACCACAAACCACTCTTATCATCACTATAAAGACTGTTTTGAGTTTTAGAACAGTTATTTTAAAATGTGTTTATTTTCTTGATAATATCTTTGAACAGGGAATGAAAGTGTGTTGGGGGGTGGAGAGGATGGTCAGCTGATTCTATAATTGGGCCACTTCTGCCCTTCTCTCTTAATCCAGGACACCCTCTCCTTCCTGAGCTCTGAAATGAACTTTGTGAGGAACTTCTGACTCCTATGCCCCAGTTACGTATCAGGGCCACATTGTAAGAAATGCAAACCCACCGGGGCAGCTGCCTTCACGCCTGAGGCCCGGGACATAGACTAGGGAAAGTTGATAGGAAGACAGAGCATGGAGCCTTAAGAAAGAGAGGTCAGTTTACTCCTGGATGTTGAGGTATGTGGCACTCTGGGGACTAGTTCAGCTGCCTTCACCAGGCTTTTGCCTTCCAACCCAGAGTCCATATTGCAGGTAATAAATATCCTTATAATGAAAAATGAGAATGGAGTCTGAATTGTACAGAGATGCCAGAGGCAATGACCTTTAAATTCAAGGCACTTGGAACTTTCCATGATTAAATGACTTCAAGTCCCGGAAAGTTTGCAAGATGGCAATACAAACGGCAACACTAGTGGTAGTGACTGCACCTTCTATTTGTACTATGCTTTTCACCGAAGGCTGTGGAGCACTTGACCCGTCATTGTCTTGCTCGACTCTGGCTAGGGTTCCCACCCACAGGTTGAGAACCCAAGAGGCTCGCTCTGAATCTGGGCCAGCATTTCCTAGCTGTGAGATCAGAGGTCTTGACGAGCAAACAATGCTGTTTCTCTGTTCGATGGCTGTCCACTGGTGCTTTCTAAATCAACCTAGTAGAAAAACCAGAGAATTTTTTTTTCTCTTTTTTTTCTTTTTTTTTTTGGAGAGGTTTTTGCCACAGGACGTGTGTGCTTGCCAGCCAGCCAGAGAGAGACAGAGAGACAGAAAGTGAGAAATCACCCCGCAGGGGGGATGGCCACGCTGCAATCCCTTCTCCTTCATTCTCCTCTTGGGATCCTGGGCATGCACGCACACGCGCCTGGCGTGAGTTTAAGCCACCAGGTCCGGAACTCGAACCGTGGTCGACTACGTGAGAGTTCAGCGACATAGCCATTACGCCAATTGCTGGTCCCAGAACCAGAGAATTTACTAGAACTATTTGGAGTTATTTGGAAGGGCTAGATGACCAGCAGTATCTGGACCCCTCTGATTGGGACAGAAGGCTCTGGAAAGGAGTCAGTGGCAGAAATCACTCATGCTTGGCTTCCTGCTTTGAGGACAGGCCAGAGGTATTGCCCAGGAGGCCACTTTTGAACAGTGATGGTGACGTCAGTGCTGTATATGCTGCTTCTTGGGACTTTTTAGTTTGTGTGATGTTTGCACTGTCACCACCAGGATCATGGTGCTATCCCGTGTAACAGGGTATCTGCCCACCTTCCAACTTGATCTCATGCCATCTCTCTGAGCCACGGAGCTCTGGTCCCTGGACAGGGCATGTTCTCCCTGTCTCAGGGTTTGTTCCTGCTGTTCTTTCTGCCTAGAGCCCTTTCCCTCTCAGCCTCCCTTCCTGCTGTCCCCATGCACAAGGCTAGTCTTTGCTGATCGTTTTTATCATGACTCTCTCAGGTCACATCCTCAAGTAAGCCTTCTTGACCCTCAGATTAGGTAAAATTCCTTTCTAACACCTTCTCTGCATTTTGAACTTACTGCCGCTCTTAAAGCATTGTAATTCTATGGTTACGTGTGTTTAAATTTCTCCTCCTTTCACTAGTACGATCTATTGGTGGCCAAGACTGTAGCCATTTTGCAGTTTGACTTGCACAGTGCCTACCATGAAGACAGTGCTAGATAAATGCTTTAATGAATGAATGAATGAATGAATGAATGAATGAATCCCTTCTGTATAACTGAGGAAACTGTGGCATGCAGAGATGATGACTTGCCCAAGGTCATGCAGTGAGTACACACACAAAAAATCCCTAAGGCCCATGACGTGGAGTCCAGAGAGCACCACACCCCTTTCATCTTATCCTATTTCCATGTGAGGGGCTTGACCATCTGCCAGAGGCTCCCCACCCCCACAGGGGAGCGTGTGCTTACCAGAGTAAAAGTGAGAGGGAGAGAAAGAAAAGAGGGAGAGGGAGAAAGCACTACCTAATGGAGTGTGGACAGGCTGCATCCTTTTTCCTCCATTTCTCTATCTGTTTGGGATTTGGGGCATGTACTCAACACACGCCCAGCATGCTTTCCAAGCTGGTGAGCTGGGATTCAAACCATGGTCAGCATGTGGGATCCAGCTTCCTTAACAAGTAGGCAACAGGGCTGGCCTGCTACAGTCTTTTAAACCTAGGGGTGCATCCCCTATGTCCTTTCCTGTCTTCTGAAAGGAGTGAAGTGCTCAGCCCCCTACTCAAGAGTAACACCTTGAGCAATGCCGTAACACCTTGCATTCTCAGTCACGAGGACAGGAGAATAAATGGGAAACTGAGCAGATGGCCTGACCTTGCTTGGTCATGGCTTTGCAGTATGATCTTGAACTGTCAAAATTTTTGCAGCCTCAGTTTATTCATCTGTGAAATGGAAACTAGATTCTCACTGCAGTGTGACTCACAGGGCTATTGAAGAGGCTACTTGATTTCATAAACTTTTGACTCATTACAAGCCCTGTGCTATAAGGAAAATCTATTTTTCTGAAGGAAAAAAAAGTATTATGAACAGCACACTCATGCTAGATTCTGATCACATGAGCAGGAAGTTACTGGTTTTCACGAAACAGGGCAGGCTTCCAGAATGGCAGGGAAAAGGGAAACATATTTTCATATTTCTGAAGTAGTTCTATAGGGATGAAAAGAAACCTTATATTAAAGAAAATAAGTTTTGGTAAAGTATCTTGGCCCCACATAGAAAAGCCCCCCACCACAGTATTCTCTTGTTAGAAAATTCTTCCTGGACAAAAGAGTTGAGAAAGCTCAGTGTTCTGGGAGGAAAGGGCCCAGTGGCTCGGGAGAGTATGGGTGCCGCCAATATCTCAGGCTCCAGGGTGGCATTTGAGAGGCCCAAATCCCCCAGAAAAACATCGATATCTGAAGTGGATGAATATGAAAGGCTTTGTGCTTTTCATATTCAAGCCAGAATATGAAAGACAGACTTTGTACGTCCCCGCTCAATATATACTGAATGTCTGCACTCCGTAGCAGAAACTGAAAGTTTGGAAGGTTTAGTAGCAGGGAGGGCAATGGTAGATACTAGAGATAATAAGGATAGGGGTGATACCAAGTGAGTAATGGAGGGAGGGAGGGAAATGGGGGGAAAGAAAATAATATGTTTAATTGACACAAAAATGAGAAGTTATTTGCTGATGATAATGTATATGGTAATGTCTTTGTCTTGACTAGTAAGGACTGCATTCATGCTGGAACAAGCAATGTTGTACACTGTAAAGGTATATAGTGATTAAATGTAAATTTTAAAACAAAGCAAGATGAAAGAAAAAAAAAAAAGAAGCATCTTCACTGTTCAAAACAAGAAAACAGAACACCCCCCAAGTGCCTTCTCATGGTTTTCTCCTTTGCATTTTATTTCTCAACCCTTTTCTTTTCATTTCAGAGGGTTTTGGAAAATGATGAAAATGTCGAAGAAGGGAATGAAGAAGAGGATTTAGAAGAAGATATTCCCAAGCGGAAGAACAGGACCAGAGGACGGGTGAGTTGGGATGCCCTGAGGAAAGAATGAGGCAGGCAAACAACTGACCCCTAGATTCAAGGTCCCACTGCAGCTGGATAGGTCAGATCCATTGTCTCACCTGGGGAGACTCTGAGAGGAAAACTCTAGAACTCTGGTCTCACACCATAGCTTGCAGGATTTAGAGCTGGCAAGAGGGAGAAGAGGGGGAGGAGGGTGCCCTGGGGAGATGGTGAGGTCAGGGGAGGATTGAGGGTTGGGGCAAGGTGAGGGGGAGGACAAGGAGAAGGTATTTCTTGTACCCATTACTTGGTCATTAAAGAACTGGATGTTTCCTGCCTTTTCTCTGGGGTGTCCCAGGATGAGAGGGCCAAGGCACCTGTTTTGGGGCTTGTTGCACTAGGCAGAGTGGGTGCATGCTGGGGAAGCCTTGGGGCTGTAGCTTCTGCTTCCCAAACAGATTTTGCATAAGCTTTGAGGCTCGTGGTCCTGGAATGGGGCATGGAAGAGGTCAGTCTGGGGAAGCAGAGGGTAGTCCTTGGTGGAAGGAATGAAAACACAGAGTGGTCCCTGTGGGGTGGGAGCACAGCTGGGTGGTGCTTTTGGCCATTTAGTTTGGGTCTCCAAAGTATGGTGTTCAAGACCAAGGGAGCTGTCTGTGGTCACCTTCAGGGCACCTGATAGTAACCAGATGCAAAGGGACCTGTAGCTGCCCCTTCACCAGAGAACTAACTCCCTTAGCCTGAGCATCTGGCCCCTCCAGTCTCTAAGCACTCTCACCCCTTCATGGATAAGAGGTTGGTTCTTGGTGCCCTGTGGATCTGGGGCTCCTGAACGTTATGGTGAGCCGCTCTACTCTTGTGGTCCTCATTCCTTGTAAGCATTAAAACCACATCAGAGCTTATTGAAATGTGATTCTCAGGAACCTTACTCAGGAATTCTGATTTAGGAGGGCTGGAGTAGGATCTTAAAACTGTATTATAAGCAAGTTCCCACACAACAGTTACAAGTAGTCCACGGTTACCCATACTGTCAGTTCAGATGCTTTGACCTATTGACAGGAGCTGAGATTTCCCAGTCTGGGCAGGAAGGCTCTCTGATGGTACGCCCTTGTATGGGTATCACCCAGCATCACCAATGATCAATATTTACTATCTTCTCTCTCTCTCGTTTTTGGCCAGGAGGCATGTGCACACACACCGGAGAGAATGAGCATCCTCCTAATAGCAGTCTCTAGACCATTTCTCTTTCCTCCATTTCTCCATCCTGTTAGGATCCTGTGTACATACGCAGGTGCCCAGAGTGTTTCTCAAACTGCCTTAGCCAGGACTTGAACTGTGGTCAGCTGTGTGGGATCTGGCTCCCTCTGCTTGGAGCTTGTCTGCTGTCTATGGGGCAGGCCCCAGTATCTTGTCATCTATTCTTTTCTTCTTCTTTTGTTAGTTTATGTGTTTGTTTGATTTTTCCTCTAGAGTATTTTAAAGCAAGTCCTAGACATTTTCTCATTTAATTGACCCATACCTCTAATAGATATCATAAATAAAAATAAAATTTCTCAATAAAAATATCAATTCTTTTTTTTTTTTTTTTGGAGAGGTTTTTGCTATAGGGTGCGTGCATTTCCCA